TTTCCTCCTTCTTTCGTCTTCCTTCTCCCCTTCTTTCCTCTTCCTTCTCTCCTCCTTCCCTCTTCCTTCCCTCCTCCTTTCTTCCGCCTTCCCTCTTCCTTTCCTCTTCCTTTCCTCTTCCTTCCCTCCTCCTCAGTTCATGATGATGAACTGAATTACTTCTTTATGGCAGATTTACTCATTTTTGGAGGTGTTAACCATTGGGTGTGGGTTAGGTTCTGGTTTTTGGTGGCGTTAACTGTTGGGTCCATCTCAGCTTGGGCCTGTTTGATGGTGTTGACTATTGGGTGCAGATTCAGTTGGGTTTCTTGGTGGTGTTGACCACCGGCTCCATCTCAGCTTGGATTTTTGGGTGATGCTGACTAATCGGGTGTGGGTTGACTTATGTTTCTTGGTGGTGCTGACCACGGGGTCCGACACAACTTCATCTTTTCGCTGGTATTGGCTACTGATTGAAACTTTACCGTGTCCTTTGGGCTCTGATGATTATTGCATGCAGCTCAACTTGGGTTCCTTTGGTGCTGAGCTGGGGGTCGCGATGCCACGCCGAAAAACTGCTGTCATGTAGGGGGGGAGGGAAGGAGGGGGAAGGGAGGGGAAGTGATGTCATGCAAGAAAAATTGATTTTGTGCCAGAAAATGCCTTTTTGGGGCTTTGAGGCCGTGTGCCGAGCTGGTGGTTTCTATCTGCTGCGTTCAGATGGATCTGCCTGAGACCAACTGGGAGATTTCCTGAAGGCGGTTCCGTGGTGGGTGCAGATGTTTGGATTAACGGCTTAATTAGCTCGCTAACTGCTAATGGCAGTGAGTGTGTTGTAGTGAGGCACAGGGCTGAGCGGGCATTGAGAGAGAGGAAATAAATAGAGCATGTTGAGAAAGGGAAAGGGGGGGTCAGAGGAAGGGGAAAGGGAGAGGAAAAGGGAAGGAAGGGGAAGGAAAAGGGGAAAGAAGCGGGAGGGGTAACAAGAGGGAAAGGGGAAGAAAAAGGGGAGAGGGAAAGAGGGAAGGGGAAGGAAAAGAGGAAAGGCGAGGAAGGGAAAGAGGGGAAGGGGAGGGGAGGGGAAAGGGGAAGGGGAAAGGCAAGGGGAAGGGAAAAGGGAAATGAGAGAAGGAGAAAGCAAAAGGGAAGGGGGAAACAAAGGGGAAAGAGGAGAGAAACGGGAGGAGGGAAAGAAGTGGAGAGGAAGGCAAGGAAGGGGAAAAGAAAAGAGAAGAAAAGGAGAAAGGGGAAGGGAATGGAAAGAGGAAGAAAAGGGAAGTGGAAGGGGCAGGAGAAAGGAAGGGAAAGGAGAAGAGGAAGGGGAGTGGAAGATGGGAAGGAGGAGGGGAAAGGGAATGGGAAGGGGAAGTAGAAGAGAAGGGAAGGAAAAGGAGGAGAAAAGAAAGGGAAAGGGAAGGGGAAAAGAAAGGGAAAGGAGCTGGGAATGAGAAGGAGTAGAAAGGGAGAGGGAAACGGGAAGGGGAAAGAAAGGGAAAGGGGAGGGAAGGAGGAAGGGGAGAAGAAGGAAAGGAAGGAGAAGGAAGGGAAAGGAGGAGTGAAGGGGAAGGAAAACACACACACACAAAACAGCAGAAAAAAAAAAAAAACAGGAAAAAATAAGGACATATTTGGATACGAACATTTGTTCTCGGCGCTCAGCTGGCGCTGACGAGGAATGCAGACGCTCAGCAGCAAATGCTTCTCACTGCTAAAAATATTCCTATCTCCAAGCACTGCTGGCTGAGGGAAGTGAAAAATAAGGAAATAACAAAAGGAAACGGCCCTGGGGAGAGTGGGGAAAAAAGGATCGTTCTTAACGCAGAGTGGAGAAAGAGGATGAAATCCTTGAAGTCGAGTGGGAAAGATAATGGAGTTCTTCAGATTGAATGGGAAAAATAGTGGAATTCTACAGATTGAATGGGAAAAATAATGGAATTCTTCAGATAGGATGGGAAAAATAACGGAGTTCTTTACACAGAATGGGAAAGATGATTGAATTCTTGAGAAGGAATGGGAGGAATAGTGGAATTCTTCATGTAGGATGGGAAAAACAATGGGATTATTGAGGCAGGATGGGAAAAATAATGGATTTGTTTAGACAATGGGAAAAAAGAATGGAATTCTTTAGACTGAGTGGGATAAATAACGAAATGGTGACGCAAATGCAACATTAATTACGACATAAACAGAAAATGATGACATAAATACAAAATGAACAATGACATAAATAGAAAATGATTACGGAAATGGAAAATTACGGTGTAGATACAACACAATAAAGTCAAAATGATAACATAAATAGAAAACGATGGCTGAACAGGAAATGATGACTTAAAAACAAAGTGAACGATGGTGGAAAGTAGGAAACAATGGCAGAAAATAGGAAATAATGGTGGAAAATAGGAAACGATGGTGGAAAGTAGGAAATGATGACATAAATAGAAAGTGAATGATGGTGGAAAATAGG